TGATAGCATTTCATAAGGGAAAGAGTCTCTTCAGGAGAAGTTTGTTTACCATTTATCACATCAGAAGAGCAACTGGCTGATATCTTGACCAAAGGAGTTTCCAAGGGGAAATTGACACACTATATAAGCAAGTTGGGCATGATTGACATCTATGCTCAGCTTGAGGGGGAGTGTAAAGAGACTAGGCCGAATGGGCCCTAACAGCCTTTTGTATGATATCCTTTATTTTACCTTTTATTTTATGTTGATGGGCCTCACTTAATGGGCCTGTTATTTGTTCTTATTTTATTTTCTTTATGTAACTACCAAGTTGGCCACCCACTTAAGGGTATACTTGTCATCATCAATTTTTTAGAGATTAATAAAAAATAGGGTTAGAGGAGAAGGGTGATTAATTCGACTTCTTCTTCTCTTACCTCTTCTCTTCGCCATCTTCCTCTCTTATACTATTATTCAGACCTGTTTTATTCTGCTAATCACTAAGTTTTAATCTTGATATTAGAGGACTGATTCACATCTTTGGTCAAGCTACACAACAGCCCTACAGCACTCCAATATCCCAAAAAAAATCTCCAATAACTCTAGAAAAGAAAAACAACCTAAGAGTAATAGGTCTCAAGCAAGAAACACCCTCAGATGGGGAGGAAAAAGTCCATACATCGAACCTCTAGTTTTCTATAATTTCTAATTGAAAAATCTGGGAAAAATCAAGGAAGCATCAATTGGCGACGAGAATCATACCAAAAACTCTCTAAAAACAAGGCACACAAAACTGAACCAGTTTCAATGGTTCCCGTCGGCACTTGTACAGACTACTGACGTCGTCTGTCAATGGTCTGAGGTCAGCAAGTCTTCTTGGGTTCAAGGGTCAGTAGAGGAAACTCTTACAAGAAGAAGAAGAAGGCACTTCATACTGTCTTTGAAAGAGTAGGGTGAGTTACTATTCACACCCCAAAAAGGCACTTTATATTGTCTGGTAAAATTACACAAATTCCCCTAAGAAGGCACCCATATACAAGAAAAATATTAAAAACCCAAAAGGCCCCTGCTCACAATACACATTCTCAACAAACACCAAAAGAATTGGGAGTATTTGTTTTCAATTAATTATATTCTTGAGCATTAGAATAAAACAGAGAACCACTTGATAAAATTTTTCCAATCTATTAATATGGAAGAATTTGTTACATAATTAATGTATAATAACATACCGAAACTGCTCAATATAGAAGGATGGAAGCTCCTCATCAGTAGCTGGTCTCACGTCTGTACAAGCCTGAATCAATTTAGGGAGTTACACTAAAAAGTTTGTAACAAAATAGTTATAGCTTCACTTAGCAGTCAAAACTAAATAAATAATAGAGAAGAAAGAAACAAGCAAATTTATTGTCTAACTACTTGAAATTAAACCCCAAAAAAGCAAAATAAAAAGAAAATAGAAGAAAGATGCATCCATGACTATTGATTAAAACAGAGAAAGAGTAAAAGAAAAGGAATTTTATCATTATTTGGTTTTTTTCTTCTTGCATGTGGATGGGTGGGGATCCTACATATATATTCTCATCTTTTTATGGGTTCATTTTTTCCTTCCTTTCTCCTGGTACTTGAACAGCTGGGGTTAGTCAATTAATGCAAGTTATAGGGGCAAAGGGGGTGGGGATGGGGGAGGGTGAACGTGCTCACTGTCCATAGCACAAAGAGCCTGCAATTCCACAAGTTTGAAATTGTGTCTCCACTGTGGGAGTAAAGTAATGCTGCATGATCATCTCAACCACCAGGTCATTGGCAGGTCTTCTCTTCTTTTTAGCCTTAAACAAAGCATGTATAAGAAAAATAGTTCAAGCTGCAGTAATCAACACCATCAATTAGCTATATTTATGATATTCCTTCATATCATGATGTTTTACTGTACTATTCCTACATTTTGCAGTTTTGATTCTTGTCTAAAGAAGGCTTATCTTCCATGGAAAACTTCATTATTTTTCACTCAGATCTAGATGGCAATCTACAGGGGTAAGAATAATAAAGGTAATGGAATAACAACTAAAAGAATAGAATCACAGAATGTGTTAACAGAATCATAAAATGAGTATCTAACTATCTAATGCTACATTTATTAGAAAACCATTTGTTGGATTGATCAATAAGCAGTGGACCAGTAATGGATGAAAAAAGAAGTCTTCCCAGGTGAAATAATCCAAGTTTACAGATAAAATTCAAAAAAAAAAACAATCCCTCCAAGTTTTATCCAAGAAAATTGCTCCATAGCAACCATTCTTAAGACAAACAAACAAAAGCAGAATGCAACTTTCTTGGATAAAGTAGATATTTACCTGTTTGATGTGATTAACTTTAGCAACTTGGGCGGTTCTGGGATCAAGATACTCATTGTCATTAAGTTCGCCAAATGATGTAACAATCACCTAAATGCATAATATGATATATATAGAGATAAGATACACGTAACATATAAGGTAGTGAAGCCTCAGATAAATGTGATATTAAGCATAAAATAGTCTGAAATGGAAATTTATTGAGTATTTATCATGCTCCAAACGCTCAGGGAATATAATTTTGAAAAATGAACATCCCCCCCCCAATGAATGGCACATCCAATTTGCATGAAATCATAGAAAGGTATTTTATATCTTGCATGTAAATGCCTTGAGTCACGCTCATCAAAACGCTCAGGGACAACGACCAAGATGCACTGAAAGTTCAAATATCTAATCTAGCTATCGAAGTGTGATTTCCATAAAATAAATTCTAAGTCTACAATGAAACTCTAGTTTTCCTTTCAAGCTGCATTCTACCTCAATTAACTGCATAAGACAACTACAGAAATGCAGTTGCAGACTAAACTCGATCAATAACAATAAAATAATAATAAGCCAAGCTTACAGCTCCACTTCTGTTGGGCATTTCAAGGGATATCATGTGAGTTTTGTTGTAAAGAGGAAATGCTTCTGAAACCGCCATGTTATAGACATTTTCATCCATTAAAACGGATCGAATGTCTGAAAAAATCAAAGGAACTATCAACAATGACGGACGCAAAACAAACAGATTGTAAATTTGAAGTATTGTTAGATTCGAGACCTTTGGCGACGTATTGGATTTCTCCGGAGGGAGAATTTAACAAGAACCATTTGGCAATCTCCGTCTTCTGCTCCTCGGTGAGTTCTGATTCTGGTTCCTGAGAATCTTCTTCAGACATGATTGAGGAGATCTCAGATGGGATGGGATCTTCGGGACACTACCTGTGTTCCTCACGTAGAAACTGGAAAGTGAAACGCGTAATCGTATTACCCACAGACAGGACGAGCACTCCGTATTACCTGTAAAGTTGGGAGAATCTGAGAGTTCAAATGATTTCGATTGGTGGGAGTGAGAAATGAGAATGAGAAATTGGGAGGATGAGATTGCAACGAGCAGGCGGAGTGATATGTGTGGCGCACTCGTGTGAACTCTGCTCGTCACTTCGAGTAAGAGTTCTAATACGGTGTTCCAAAGAGTATTATAAATTATTGTGGTCCTACAGTTCCTGCGGTTGCATCTGGTAATAACACGTGGACCAATGGCTTCAAAGTGACCTTGGGGACCTGAGAACTCAGATTTACTCGGAGCGCGCCTGACACCAATTTCATAGAATGTTTCAGCCGTGCATTGGGAATATCTCCTCATGAATTATATAAGCTATTCTCGATGTTTGCGGCTGCAAGTACTGTTAGATTAGTGTGAGTCGCGCTTTGTGCGTAGCAAATCTGGATTGGCCCGGTCCATAGCCCAACTTGGGCCAAGGCTTGGCCACGGGCCAGTCCGGCCCATGGCACAATACGGCATGACACGAGCCCACACAGGCCTGGGCCGTGGGTTGGGCCGGGCGGACTCCCAAAATTTTCACCTAGGAGGGTGGCACGGCCCGTGGGCCAGTATAGCATAGCCCGCACTTTGCGCCAACCACACGACCCACTTTACACCTCTATTTAAGAGTTCAGATCTACTCTCACTACAACACTTATATATTATTAATAGCGGGGACCCGTGCGATGTATGAGATTTATAAAAGAAAAGTAAAATAATGGAAATTGATTGTTATATTTGTCGAGGCAATATTCATCTTCAATCTCATTGGATCAAGGAAGTTGAGTACCCAATGGGATGGGGAACGTTGCCATCCCTATTTACACTCAAATCTTATTAATTGGTATAAAACTAAAATTTGAAACCTAATAAATAAAATTAAATTTTAGCAAATTTTTATCTAACAACTATTAAAAATTAAGAAATTCATAAAATAATAATAATAATAATAATAAGTAAAATAATATATATTAAAATTAATAAAATAAACCAATTACATTCCATTTAAAAATTATAAAATTTAATTAAAATATTAAAACTATTAAAGACCTAATTATAAATGTCTTAAGACTCCTGCTTATGGGTGATTATTTATAACTTAGTCTAAAACTGGTTAAACCAACAGACTTTCGGGCTCAAGCAACTATTTTCTTCTAAGTTAGCTCAAATATACACCAACCCCACACAATGTAGACATAGGATTGTAAATGGCTTGAATTCAAATTTGAACCGACTACATCTACATCGCATCCGCATTTGATTATGAAATATAGATCCACATTTTGCACTTGATTGTTTTGGATCATTTTGGCATTTAATCTATAACCATCTTATTATGTTTAAAATGACAAAAATTAATAAAATTTTGAAAAAATCAATTATTTATAAAGCATATATGTATAGTAAATGTATATAAATATAAAATATTAAATTTATCAGTTATAAACTTTATATAGTTATGCATAATATATATGTATACATAATTATTGGATTCTAGTTGTTATTGTTTGGTTCATTAGGAGTTTGAATTGTTATCAACTAACCATTTTATTAATATTTTATTATTTTATTAGTACTTATTTATTATTTTATTGTTATTTATAATGAACAATTTATATTAATATTTTTTAATTACTAGTATTAATATTTTATTTTATTATTTATTTATTACTTAGTTAGTAGTAATACTATTATAAATTATTTTTTCTCCCCAAAATATATTGTATTAATATTTTATTTATACATTATTATTATTATATATCTTTGTTTGCTATTATTATTGTGCTAATGTTTTATTATAGTACTATTATTTTATTATTATCTTATCATTAATAATATTTTAATTATCCTATTAATAATAATTATACTAACTCTTAAAAATGGTCATCCTTAAGTACAAATTAATACTATTTTTTATTAATTTCTTAACTTTTAATAGTTGCTAGATAAAAACTTACTAAATTTTAATATATGTATTAACTTTAGTAATTTTTATTAATTATAGTTATTAGGTTTCAAATTATATATAAATTATTATTATCATCATCATCATCATCATCATCATCATCATCATCATCATCATCATCATCATCATCATCATCATCATTATTATTATTATTATTATTATTATTGTATGTTGTGTATCACACGTTACGAGTTTCTATACAAACCCGTTTAGCTTGTCTTCTTCGTATAAGTGATAAAAAAGGGTTCTACATTTTAAATTTTCATTATTTTTTAATTTTTTTATGGATCTTCTATTTTATATATGTCTCTTGTGTAATATGGGCACTATGCACAATAAAGGTCTCAACTCATAAAATTTATTAATTTTAATAATATTATTAATTAATTAATTAATTAATTAATTAAAAATATATTAATACAAAGTTATCTAATAAAAAATAATAATAAATAAAACAAAACACAACATTAAAATATGGGTTCTATTTGCAATATATCAAGCCCATATTTAAATCATAACATTATTAAAACCATAGTATTTAAACTTTATTATCTTTATTTGTGTTTATTAAATTTGATTTTTAAGTGGAATTTAAATGTTTTTAATTTTATTAGTGTTTATTGAGTTTGATTTTTACTAGTGTTTTTTATTTTTTACTAAGTTTTGTTAATATTTATTAGTTTTAAGTGGAGGGTTAGTAGATTTTTAAATTAATATTTTTATTTTTGTTGTTTTATGTTTGATTGTTTAACCTCAACTTATTTATATTATTTGATTGATTAATATTTTACTTTATTATGTTGTATTAATACTCCCTCATTCTTTATCTTAATTGCCTTTTTTAAATTCAACAATAACATGCATTAAAATAAGAGGCCTTGGAAAATCCAAATGTCTATATTTTTCTCTCTCTAATAGTGTGCAACTTTATTAATATAATCAAAATAGGTAATTGTTATTTTTTTATATTATATATAAAAGTGTGAATGCAATGTGAAACTTTTTTGGACTAAAATTGCCCTCTTTCTTTTGACTAAAATACTCATTTTTTTTAATTTAGTCACTATTTAATTCTAAGGTTTAAATTGTAATTTAAACTACTACTTTTCATTTCATTCAGTTCCCGCTATTTAAGTTTTACATTTTTTGACAAGTGAACAAAAAAATATACACCAAAAAATTAAATATTACAAAAATAATAATCTAACCGAGCAAATAGGCCTATCAACGATACTTGAAACTTCACAACTCGATCCGATTATCACATATTTGGATGATGTGTTTATGTAATCGGATTTGGATTTTCAATCTGCATTTGATTAATAATAAAAAAACAAAGAATACACAAAATTTATAAAAAATAAAATAATACATTAATACTATCACTATCATCATCTTTGTGTGTGTGTGTGTGTATATATATTAATGGGAAATGATCCTAATACATGGTGAGATGTTGTGAGGTTGCTGTGAAGAGCGTTCTGTGGTGAGTAGATCCCATCACAGCATTTAAGCAACGAGCACAAATGCATGTCACTTTGTAATTAGGGGATGTAACAGTTATCTTGAATTGAAAGTTGAACCAAATCTATTAATATTAGATAATATAAATAGTAAATCAATATAGAAGTGTGCATGGGTTGGAAAATATCCCAAATGGCAATCTCTTTTGTGAAAAAAATGATCTCAAAGCATGCATTTCGGCTTGTTATGAGTATAAGTTAAGAGTGTATGGGCCTACTGCCCAGTGACATTATGTTAACTCATTGGATCAATTGTTATATGAGTATAAGTAATATTTATAAATGGCTTGTTATAATGTATCTTCCGTATAACAATTGCCTACTTACAAGCTAAAGAATTTTACCATCATCAAATAGGAGTGCGAGTTGGATTGGCCCGAGTTAACAGTTTATACTATTTTAGGCTTGAACTTTGGGTTGGATCCATTAAAATTTTGATAAAATCACAACCCTAACCCGAAAAAGTTGCACCCATATCATCAACACCATACATCCATACATATTTATAAGATTTTGGCAAATGTTTTGGCCCGACTGTCAATGTGACGTAACACTCCTTTATCCAAGCTCTAAACTTGCAACATGTAAGGCAAACTCACATTGCGAGAGTTAGTTGCATGTTAAAATATCTCCCATTATCAAATTACTTGGACCAATAAGAAGTGAATTATTTCCCTTTCTTCTTAAAGGGATCACTCCATTTATTTTCATTTGATCACTCCAAAGTAAAACACTAACAATTAACGGTGAGATGGTTGATATTGGAAGGTACAAAATAATTAAGAACTGAGACGTGTAAGTCTATGCAAATATTGCAATATAAAGAGAGCATAGTTTCGTCGTGCATGCAAAAAAACCGGCTACATAAGAATATGCCATCAATCAATCAATTAGGTCAAATCAGATTGGGCATGAGATCTGAACCGAAACCAAATTAGGGGTTCCGAATAAATCGAATTGAAAAAAAATAAAAATCGGAACCGAAACCAAAATTTTCGGTTATTTCCGTTAAAACCGAATTTTAATAATATATACCCTACTATAATATATATATATATATATTATATTATATATTATTGATGTAGCGCAATCCGGTCACTCTTAACTGGTGCTCGCGTGGCTCCTAAGAGGTACCTGAGACGAGAGGAAAGAGGAAGAACTCCCGGGGGGTTTCCCGGCGGGAACGCTCCGATGCTTAAGTTAGTATTGAGTGCAAAAAGCAAAAGGATAACGAAGGTTAAGAGTGCAGGTTACACAGGTGATTCCAAGATACCTTGTTCCTTGAGAATAAGCCCCTTATAACTGAATTTTGTTGCTTCAGGCCCTCTGACCTTTGACAGGGCAGGTATAACCGCCACAGCCGCTACAGGCAGGGCTGAGGTGGCACGCGCGGGGCCGTCGTGCAGGGTACGTGTCTGTCAGGTGTGGGACGTCTTTCTAAAGGTGGCAGGCGTGGCGAGGGGGACATGCCTGCTGTCCACAGGTTTGTCGGGTACGACGGTCGGGCATGAAGCCCTCTTATGGTATACCGAACTGTTCTCCTGCGAATTACCCTGAGCTGGGTTGTCCTTTGAGTGACGGGCTGCCTGTAGCCGGTTATGCCGAGCTAG